AAAATGTTTTCCTTTATGTATTAACATAATAGATACTAGCTGTTCCCCGCGACTTCACTCGCGTGGAATTTATCACGATTGGATTTCAAAAGTTTTAATTTTTTTGTCCGGAACCCTAATTCTTTTCTTAAAATAAAAGTAGCCTAAGTTATTCCTTATCAGCTATCTGCCAGTGAAAGTCATGTAAAAATGGATCCAGCCGTTTCGAAGATTTTCCAGAACAAACAGACAGATACATAGACAGACAGACAAAAATTTTAAAAATTGTTTTTTTGTTGTTATAAGTACTGTATATACTTTCATATATATTTAGTAAAAAGCTGTTATTTTGACAACACAAACAGATACTTCAATTTTATTTATTTGTATAGATTTCAAACAAATTATATTTCCAATTTCAATGTATCAGGTTGCAAGTTCCTATCAATAACAGTAGCCGATAAACTCTAAAAGCTCTTTACCGAGATTCGCTGATCGGTTTCGTTCCAAGCATCCCGGGACAGGTGTGCGCGATAAGTTGCGGGCATTTAGTTTCGGGTCCCGGCGCTGTCTCCCCCGGGAAATCATAAGGATCGCTGCGATATCTGAGGTAGGTTAATCGACAGAATGCTTCGCGGTACTGTAGTATATTATGTTATTATAATTTTGTAAACGTAGTCAATTATGTTTCTTTTAATAACGGGACCATAGACTAATTACTCCAAAACCCTATCAGAAATAAAAGAAGGCCTGTGTGAGTGGGACTTGTGGGTGCCGTATCCGTATCTCCCTAATGTTGTATTTTTGTTGATTTTTGAAGTTATCCTTCTTTTGGGGCGTTTGGAAAAAATGACGAGAGTGAATTTTTACGATGCGTGTGCACACCGACACCTAAAACCGACACCATGAAGTTGTTAAGACGCGCGTGCACACTGACACCTAAAAGCGACAACTTCAGTGGGTAACTGTCTCTCAAGATTTTTTTTTGTTTTGTTACGCTAAAGAAGTATAACTTCCTACGTGCCTATATAAGTACACACACGCTTTTTTACGCTTGTATTCTGTGAGAGCGTGGTTCTTCCCCGATCGAGCCCACCTATTCATGCTACAACTGTACCTACCACTAATATAGCTGCAGTATAGCTCTACCATAATGCTCTACAATTTATTATATGATCCACTTTTGTTTTCTCTGTTACGTAGCTCTAGTAGGTATATAGAATTTTATTACAACAGGTTTGGTAATTTTCTTGTTATTTCATATTTATACATTTTTTTTGCTGTCGTTTTAATCTAACTTACACACTCTTGCCTCCACTAAATCGGCATTACGAATTGATGTTTATGTTCAATTCGTGACTTAAAGCTGAGTGGAGACCATTTTAGTGCACATAAAGTAATTTTTTTAAACATTTTTTATGATCGATATATAAAGTAGTCTTTTTTGTCTTGTTTGGTTTTGTTTTCTTTATTACAACTTGTGTCCAATAAACATATTTCTTTCTTTTTTTAACCTGCTCAGTTGGACTCCTAGGTAGAAAATGTGTTCTTACATGAATGGGTCGGCTCAACTAGGGTAGGAATAGGACCAAGCTTTCACAGAATACCAGTGTAAAATGCTTAATGCTGCTGTGTTTCGTATGGCTAGTGTAGTGTACCGGAGACCCTTTTTACTGGAAACGAGGCATTCCATCTTAGGCCTCAGGGGTGATAACGCATCTGCAGTTTCATTCTTAATTGAGGATAAATGTAAATGTCTACGAGCCCCAGCCACAGAATAAATGATAGTACTACGTACAGAAGTTGCACTCCTTTAATGTTGACTGCTTGCCGAAATTTAAATAGCCTACATAGGGTGGATGCCCCTATTACCAGCCTTTTAGTGTTAATTTCAACTAGAAAAATTCCTGCCATTTTAATTAGGGCACAATATTTTTTAATTTTTTTTAATACATAGGTTTTTTATCCACAAATGTAATGAAAATTTATTTACAATCATATTATTTCAAGAACAATTTCAAAAACGACGATAAGCAGTAAAAGGCGTTATGGCCCATATTCCAGCCACCTTGTACCGAATGTCGTCCTTTTGTGTACCTAATGCCAGCATAGCATAGAGTTATGCCTTTTGAGTTTTTGGTAGGTACTTATTGTAGGTAAGTTTTAGAGACACAGTAATAAATTCGTAACAATTTTTAATTTTTAATCTGCACGTCACACACGCATGGAATATGTATTAAGGCAGACGATAATATTATTTTATTTTAATGTTTTACTACTTACCTTACTATGTTTTAGTTTAAAGCAGTTCAATAAATTCAAGCAAATTATGATAAAATATTATGTAGCACATCGATTTCTAATAATTTAATCATCCAAGTTTTCCTTACACAAGTCCACTACTGAACATCCTCCTCCATAGACTGCCGCAAAGCATGGTCCTGAACCACTTTCCTTGTCATGAGTTTTTCATTTATGTTCTAAATTATATTTAGTATTACTAAGTTATATTTTTTGCTTGTTTTTTCTTCTTTGTGAGTGTCCGTATTACTTTGCATCTGTTCTCCTTCCTACGTCACAACGGACTTTCCGTGGTTACTAAGGGCTGTTAATAAAGAGTAAAAAAATACCTACATTGTGAAATTGTAAGTAAGTTACTTAGGTAAAGTACCCATTCTGATAGACCATATTTCCGCTACTATGTGAGTTCTGTGATGCCCAACGCATGCAACTTGCAAGGCCGTTCGTCGGGAATCGCGATGCTTGGCTAGTAAGAAATACGAGTAATGTAAACAACAAATAGATCCGAAATACGATTCCTAACAGAAATGTGTTCGTATTCTACTTAGTTAAAAATCTTGTAAACAAAGTTTTAATTTCAGTGTTTTGTGTTATTATAACTTATAATGTTTTAATTACAAAATACAAGTATAGGTATGTAAGTAGGTACTTGGGTAGTGAAGTAAATTTCAACTAAGTTTTGTAATAAATTACTTAGGTATTACTTCTGCAGTTAAATTATTACTGAAATCTTTTTTCGCTGTTAGATCCTATCTAACAAAAAATTAAATAAATTCACTTTTCATTATCCTTCAGTAACTTAAAAAATGATATATCTGAATCCTTTTATTTGCTCATATAGGTATACATCCCCATTCCCGCAATAATTATATTAGGAACGACGTTTTACCATTATAATTTATGAAATAGATAGGCTAGAACGCGCTAGCCCCTATTGCGTCTGCCCCGGGGGCGCCTCGAGATTGTAGGTAATTATTTCAGGCAGGTAGCAAGAGTGACAGAGGCCTGCCACAGCATTCACTTACCATCAGGTGGACTGTGTGCTCGTTTGTCACCCTTATTCTATAAAAAAACGTTCTACCATCTACTATTTACTAGAGTTCCACATTATTTTTGGAGCTTTTGCGATAACTTGACCGCCGGCGAATTCCATTTACCGTATTAAAGCTAAAGTAATGGCTCGAAGTTAATATGATACACAAAAGTGATGCAATTTTGTAAATAAAATATCTACGCATGTGATGTCAACTTGTCTGCTTGGGTACATTGAGACACTGCCGTTATGTTGCCTGGTACAAGCTGCGGTCAAAATCTCTCAGAAACTGCAAAGTGACGCATCAACATTTTTTTCAACAAAGAAGTTTTTAAACAAATTATTATAAAGAATAATTTTATAATACTCGATATTAGTAAGCTGAAGTGGCAATGGGCCGGTCATATAGCTTAAAGATCTGACCACCGATGGGGAAGAAAGGTTCTCAAGAGGCAGCCTCGTACCGGGAGACAAAATGTAGGGCGGCCCCCCACTAGATGGAGTGACGACCTGGTAAGACATGCAGGAAGTGGATGGATGCAGTTCGCTCAGGATCGTACTTTGTGGTTTTCCTTGGGGGAGGCCTGTATTCAGCAATGGACTTGTAAAAAGCTGTAATAAATGAATGAATGAATTGATATTAGCAAAAATACAACCCTACAAGTCCATTACCAAAGAAAAAAGAACGCACTATTATGGGTAAACTAAAAAGGTTAATTAATAGCGTTATCTCTTGAACAAATTCGTAGCATAAATTATTCTGAAAATATAGTTTCGTGAAATATGCAACCGTTATTTATCGGCGGATTCGAGAACTAAGTATTGCTAATTAATAACGCTAGAGATTCGCGCTTTAAAATGAACAGTTAAATATGGGTGGGGTGCGATCCGGTCTGAAATCAATTTCAACTTTCCATTTGGTGACAAATTGTAAGACGGCTATGTAACGCAGTGATGTGGCCTCATCGCTGCGAGCCACGGGTTCGAATCCCGCACCGAACATGTGTTTGTACTTTTTTATAGAATAATGGGGAAAACGTTTCCACAGTCCACCTGATGGTAAGTAAATGTTGTGGCCCATTGATATCTACATCTATCCTCGATTAAGAATCAAAATACAGATGTCTTATCATCCCTGTTACTAATAACAAGTGATACAACTTATTCGAGAATATAGGTGTCTAAGGGTTGCAGCCCACTGACCATCATGTGCACTAGGTATGTGCTAGTTTTTTACCTTATTCTATTAAAAAAAAATAAACTTAAACTTCAATACAAATACAACTGATTGTTAGACAGCTTAATTTACTGATTGGTTCACGTAATGGTTGGCAAATACATATTTACGCGAATACTACACATTGAATAAAACTAATATATATGTGTGTGTGTAATAAAATATATTTGTAACCGGACTATTTTTATTGGAAACGAGGCATTCCATCTTGGTGCTCAGAGGTGACATCGCATCTGCATTTTGATTCTTATATGAGTATAAATGTACGTATAGATGTCTACGGGCCGCAGCATCCACTTACTTACATCAGGTGTACTGTGTCCTCGTTTGTCACCATTATTATATAATAAAACATACATTTCTTGACAATATGCTTACGCACATCCAACTTTTTGATGTCAAGTCTGGGTGTGTTATGCTTCGCTTACACATACGAGTATAAAAACTCACCCTGTATAGCGCCTGCCCAGCACAGCCAGAATAGCGCCCATTTTGCAGTACGGAAGCGCTGAAGCCACGCCGGTCGGAACATGCCCCAGCCGCAGCGTAGTGCGTGACTCTCCTGTCCTCCATGAGGCTCCGACTCAGCCTCAGCTTCAGGCTGTGAAGTGGAAAATAATTTTTAAAAAAAACTAGTTTTTACGGATTTTATCACGTAAATTAACTTGTTTTATATGCCCGAAGATTCGAGTACTTTACAGCACTCATTGTCACGGGGGGGGGGGGGGGACTGAGGTGTTCGAGCAGACTGGATAATTTTAACCTAAATGTAGTTGTGGTTTACTATGATATTGGGACGTTTTAAACCAGTTTTATTTAGCGAAATGTGTAGTGTTCGCGTAAACGTAAGAAATCAGTGGTAAATAAATTAGATTATTAGGTATCTTTATAGTTCATTAACAAAGTTAAACAGAAGCAAAAACTTTTATACGTGGTAATGCCACGCTGCAGCTATATAGTTGTCGCAAGAATGGGTAGACTGGATTGAGGAAGGACCACGCTCTCACAGATTACCGGCGTTTAAACAGCAGCTTAATGCTACTGTGTTTCGTATGGTTTCATCTTAATCTCACCAATATTTTCTCTTTCTTTCTCTTTTGCTGATACAACATATTTACTACAGTCTTATATATATAGAGGTTAGTAACTACAGATAAATGACGTGTTACATAATTAAAATGGTAAGTCAGAATTTAAAAATGCTTCATTTTTTTGGAACGAAGTTCTTCATCGGACGGTACGGATTTGGCAGATGGGGGCTAGGTGGCAAAAAGCGTAAGATTTTTCCGTCATGACCCCTTCTGACGTAGTGTAGACCATAGATAATACACTATATACCAGGAAGTGTAGACGGCCTTGGCGGCTATAAGGAAGCGAGATGGAATAATATCCATCTCTCTCGCACTTTTTCTTATCTTGCCATGAAAGAAATATTATTTTATTTTAAATACTACGCTAGTAATTCATTTATTTGCATTTGTTAATCAATAATATAATACGTTTATCAATAATAATATACTACGAAAGGAACTTCGTTCTAAACAAGTGTTCCACGACATGCACGCATGTTTTTTAATTTCAGTGTTGACGGGGATCAAACTCGGTTTTTCGCCTTAGTTAAATTTAAGCCATGTTTATTCTCTAAGCTACCACAGCTTATTTGTTTACAATATAACATCAAATTTCTATTTAATTGAATTCCAACAAGCACATAGCATGGGTTGTTAAGAACCGGAACCGTATCGTAAACGTCAAACTGGTTTTCGTAATAGAGTGGTAACACCAGTCTACATATATATTTTTTCACTATCTTAAACTACATATTTGCCTCAGGATCCGTCTTTGTGGATATGACATCCTCTTATACTTAAGAGATCCATATCCACAAAGACGGATCCTGAAAAAGTAAGGGATTTCTGATCTCAAGCAGCAGTGTTTTCACTGTTGTTTTTTTATAGAATAGCGTGACAAACGAGCACACAGTTCACCTGATGGTAAATGAATGCTGTGCCATATAAATATCTACATTTACCCTCGTTACGAATCAAAATGCAGATGCGTTGTCACCCCTGAGTACAAAGATAAAATGCCTCGTTTCCAATAAAAAGGGTCTCCGATTTTCTATACTCACCATACGAAATACAACAGCATCACGCTGCTATTTTACGTTGGTATTATGTGCGAGCGTGATCTTACCCCAGCTGAGCCGACCCATGCTACAACCATAATATAGCTGTAGCGTGGTCCTACCACGTGAAGTGTTTCGGTCTGTAAACCATAGAGAGCTAGCAAAATTACCTATAAAGTACCTTCTTTGTTTGAAGTTAGTTGCACGTGTTGTCACTTCTTTTTTTTTAAATATGCCGTCGAAAGTTATATTGTTATTTGGTTCGCTTTCGCTAGGCCAAGTAATTTTCGGCTTAATGCTTTCCTTTCATACTGTTCCAATTCCGTTACGAATTGTCATAAAACAAAATGTTTTATTCAGCTAAAATCTGTTTTAGTGTTTTTTTTTTATACGATAAGGGTGACAAACGAGCACACAGTCCACCTGATGGTAAGTGGTTGCTGCGGCCCATTGACATCTACATTTATCCTCTATTTCAAATCAAAATGTAGATGCGTTGTCACCCGTGAGGACTAAGATGGAATGCCTCATTTCCAGTAAAAAGGGCCTCCGGCCACCTGCGCTCACCAAGCGAAACGCAGAGGTAAACCTCTACTTCACGCTGGTTTTCTGTGAGGTCGTGGTACCACCCCGGTTCGAGCCGGCCCATCCGTGCTACAGTAAAAGCTGCCGCGTGGCTCTACCACTGTTAGAAAATGTGATAGTGTACGAAATGTGTGATAAAAACATTATCTACTCTATAAAATATTAAGTAAATTATAATATAAGCGTGTAGAAAATTATTAATACCCTTCAGTAACCAGTAATGTACACAAGCGGATGTAGGTGTAACTGTAACGTGAGTGACAAACTACGAACAGTTGAAACGCCAGTAACCTGTCGCTACATGGTGCGGACCGCGAACTCATAGGCCGTGGGTTATACACTTAAGCAATTTTTGGTATATTTTAGCAAAGCATTCAACTTTTATAAGTTTCTAATTCTAACGATCCGCGCCCACTTCGCAGCATACGAAACACAGCAGCATTAAGACGCTGGTATTTTGTGAGAGTCGTGCTAGCTCAGGGGTTAAACGCTCGCTGTAAATTTCACTGTAGCGAGCAAAGAGTTAGATCCCGCCGATACCCTTGTAATTGTTAATTGCAATTTCAAGTGCTGATTTGCCACGTGCTCAGCGGTTAAGGAGAACATCGTGAGGAAAAAATGTCTGAGAAATTAGAAAAAAATATATTTCGTAGACGTGAAGTCCGTTAAAACCATTGGGACAGCGCGGGGGACACTTCCTTGCCTTAAAACCCTCTCAGAAATGAGAGGAGGTCTGTGCCCAGCAGTGGGACGTATATAGGCTGTAACTTTAACTTTTAAACTATTCTGTGAGAGCGTTTTCCTCCGTCCTCCATCCGTCTCTAGTCGAGCCGACCCATTCGTGCAACAGCCATAATATAGCTACAGCTCTACCATGAAAAGAAATAGACGTGGCTCCGTCACAGACGAACCCAGGACTGGGTATCGGACACGGAAGCCACTTAACCGAAACCCACGAGATCTATAAATAATTTCCTAATAAGATAATAATATAAAATACTGACTTACATTGTCCGGGATGGCCAGAGACGTATATCACATTATGAATACGTAACTTGGCCGGAACTAATAATTGTGTTGTATTGTGCTTAGATCAAGATTTAATGCCATACATACGAATCTGACGTAACGACTTAAGTATAGACCGCTGTAGACGTGAAACAGCGGTCATTCTGATGTAATCTTATATTTCTAACTGCAGCTTTCAATAACTAACGCCATTTTAGTTGTAAAATTAGAGCACGATCAGTTTGACTTTTCACTCGTTGAATGTAGTCATATTTTTCCATTTTTTTTTCCATTTTAAAAAAACGTTACCACCACACTAGGATTTTCTCCTGTGACGTGGAGGCAGTTTACAAACACAAATTGCACAAAGACAAACATCCAGACCCGTAGCAATTATTTGTAGGCCATACAAATACTTGTTCCGTGCGGGATTCGAAACCGCGGCCCCCAGCGCTACAACTCATTGCTAAGCCACTGCGCCACGGAGCCGTCCTATAAATAAAATTAAAGTGCCTGTCTGTCATATCATAATTAACTGGCTTCTTTTAAGCTTAGGGGATTTTGAATGATATTGAGATATAAATAACCATTAAAAAATAATGTTGTCTGTCCGGGCTAATCTTTAAAACGGCTGAACCAATTGTGACGAAATTTTACAAACAGGCAGAGAGCAATGTCAGGAGGTATCTATGCTATATTTTATCCGAAAAACTTGAAGATTTTCGTATTGAAAAGACGAAAAATTGATAAAATAAATGGTGTTTCATAATCATTGAAAATAATAGTAATAATACAATAAAATAATAGTGTGCAGTGTGTAAAATAAAATATTAGTATCCAGACGAAGCAGGGGCGGTTAACTAGTTGTTTTATTTCATTACGTCGGCTTTGTTTCGGAGTACGACGATCTTTATACATGGTAGAGTCATGCTGTAGCTATATTATGGTTGTAGTAGTGGGTTGACACGACCGGGGTAGCATCACGCTCTCACAGAATACCAGTGTAAAATAGCAGCTTAATACTGCTGTGTTTCATATGGTGAGTGTAGAGAACCGAAGACCCTTTTTACTGGAACTGGACTTTTTAATGGAAACGAGGCATTTAATCTTAGTTCTCAGGGGGAAACAATTCCTCTAAATTTTGATTCTTAATCGAGAATAGATGTAGATGTCTATCGGCCACAGCATCCACTTAACATCAGCCGGACTGTACTAGTTTGTTTCTACAAAAAAAAACACTGAGTACTTATTTGATCAATGCAGATAAATATAGAATAATATTCGCGGTAAAACTAGAATAGCTGACATAGCCTAACGGATCAGTAAGCTGAAGTGAACCGACAACCGATGGGTAAGAAAGATACTCGAGTGACAGTCTCATACTGCAAAATATAGGCCGGTCCGCCTCTAAATGGTGTGATGATCTGGTAAGACAAAGCAGTCGATGTATGGAGGTGTCTCAGGTCTATGTTTTGTAGCATTTTTTTTAGATATTTTTTATATACGAAAGGATATAAATGGTGAACTTAATGTCTGCAGACATTTATACCAGTCAACCCATGGATCAGTATAAAATGGAGGTATTGAAGTGTAAAAATAAACAAAACATTCCTGGGGAGGAGGGGTATACGAATGGATAAATACTTAAATGATTTCTTTCACCAATGATTTTTATAAATAAATGTGAAGGGTATATGGGATAAGCTTGTTTTACTTCTTGCAATGGAAGAAATCTATCCAGCAGTAGAACTATAATGGGCTGATGATGATGATGAAAAAGATGAAGACAATAAAACTTCATTAAGCAATCTTAATTATAAATACGTATTATTATATTTGTTGATTCATTAAAGTCAACCGCTATGCTACCATCACTATGG